AAGTTCTTCTATTCCATATGTCATGGCTGGAGTAGTGAAGGGAGGTCGTTCAGTGTAGATGGTTCAGCATTACTGGTAATAAATATAGACCAAACAAGTTCTTCTATTCCATATGTCATGGCTGGAGTAGTGAAGGGAGGTCGTTCAGTGTAGATGGTTCAGCATTACTGGTAATAAATATAGACCAAACAAGTTCTTCTATTCCATATTTGGTAATAAATGGAGTTTTTGGTGATTTTATATACATTTTGTTTAGTAACAATTGGAGTATAGGGACATGATCTTGACTCAATTTGAAGTCAACAGGATTAGCAGTAAGTACAGTGTAATTCTGTGTTGTTGTTTAGTTTATTAATATACGTTTTGTTTGTATGCTGCATTTTGAAGTTTTGTGGTAGTTATTTGAAATGTTTTTAACAATAACTGGTGTGAATGAATGGATGTTTTATAAGGTTGATTTGTTCATTTATATAGTCCGTTAAGCAGATTCTTGGAGCTGTGTTAATAAGGTTTTTGATGGGATAGTTATGTGAGAATTTTTTAACAATAACTAGTGTGAATGAATGGATGTTTTATAAGGTTGATTTGTTCATCTATATAGTCCGTTAAACAGATTCTTGGAGCTGTGTTAATAAGGTTTTTGATGGGATAGTTATGTGAGAATTTTTTAACAATAACTAGTGTGAATGAATGGATGTTTTATAAGGTTGGTGTGTTCATCTATATAGTCCGTTAAGCAGATTCTTGAAGCTGTGTTAATAAGGTTTTTGTTGTGGTGGTTATGTGAGAAGTTTTCAACAATAACTAGTGTGAATGAATGGATGTTTTATAAGGTTGATTTGTTCATCTATATAGTCCGTTAAGCAGATTCTTGAAGTTGTGTTAATAAGGTTTTTGTTGTGGTGGTTATGTGAGAAGTTTTCAACAATAACTGGTGTGAATGAAGGGGTGTTTTATAAGGTTCGATAGTGAATTTAATATTGGGATAAATTGAATTTATGTTTGTGTTCGATAGAAGTGAATCCAGTAAAAGTGACATAAACATATCTGTAACAGTATGGGGGAGGGGGTAAAGCACCAACTGTACGACTTGCATTTCGGGTCATAAATATGCTGGCTAGAACAGATGAAATAGGATTGCCAATGCTTAAACCTTGTATTTGAAAAAAAAATGTTGAACAAAATGAAGTTGGTTTTATTTGTTGTAAGTTCTCAGAGGGAGTCAAAATGTGTGCTGGGGATGTGAATTAAAGGATTGGGGGTCATTAAGGTAGAGGTCAAGTGCACTGTTACAAGTTTAATTGGCGGGAATTTCAATGAAAAGTGACACGACATCAAAGCTAGCCATTAAGGCTTAAGGGTTGAGTTGGTTTAATGTGTTTCTGAAATTGAAGGCATCTTTGAAACAGAAACCTGCAGATGTTATGTATGGTGTGAGACCTCAAGACACGTATCTACCTATATTGTGGTTGAAAGAGTCATAAGTGGATAACGTGGATCGTATAAGGTAGTCTGGTTTGTGTGATTTAGGAATGCCAATAGAGTTGTGATGTGCGTGAGTCGGTTTTACTTAGTTGAAAATATAGTTCGTCAGGAATTATATCTTTCTATTCATTTATTTTTCATGTATATTTGTTGAGTTCTTTGGGAAGAGGTTCAATTTCTTTTTTATCGGAGAGGATGTAACTTATTTTGTCGATATATTCTACATTATACTACAGTTTGCCATTTATCCGTTCAATAATGATATACGCTTGCACAAGACTTACCGTTGAACATGAAATTTCTATTGACTTCGATTCTCTTAAAAAACCCGGCTCTAAACTGAAATTTATTCAAAAAACTCGACTTTAAATTGAAATATATTCAAAAAATCCGGACCTAAACTGAAATTTATTCAAAAAAACCCGGCTCCAAACTAAAATATATTCAAAAAACCCGGCTCCAAACTAAAATTTATTCAAAAAACTGAAATTTAATGAAAAATGCGCCCCTAAACTGAAATTTATTATAAAAAAAACCTGGATCAAAACTAAAATTTATTCAAAAAATCCGAACCTAAACTGAAATTTATTAAAAACCTTACCTAAACTGATATTTATTTAAAAAAACCCGGCCCTAAACTGAAATTTATTCAAAAACTTGGACCTAAGCTGAAATTTATTCAAAAACTTGGACCTAAACTGAAATGTATTCAAAAACTTGGACCTAAACTGAAATTTATTCAAAAACCCGAACCTAAACTGAAACTTATTCAAAAAAACCGGCTTTAAACTAAAATTTATTTTAAAAAACCGACCCTAAACTGAAATTTATCCAAAAAACCCGACCCTAAACTGAAATTTATTTTACAAAATTATAAAAATACTTTTAATAAAGATACCTGTACTTAGATGTCAAGGAAGTTCTGGTAATGTCACTTCTTTGATTTATAGTGTGTATATATTCTTGTTTGTAGATAAAACACTCTTAACCGATATTAGCAAAGCCTTGTCGAAACGTTTTACATTTGTTACTATGTTAAACCTGTAATAAAGTTTTCCTCATAACCCATTCAAACCGTCTTCACACTTTATCAGTCTCAAAGTGGGTTCCTTGTCATCGAAGATGAACTATCTGGTACGAAGTGTAGAGAACTCTACAAACTAAGTTGATAGGTTTAACAGATAAGTGAAGTTAACTCTGGATAGTAAGTTGTCTGGTTGAACAACTGTCTGGTACGACGTTATTAACGTTTGTGTACAAACCTATAGTAAGAAATATTTGCACTGTATTCACAAGCTTCGAATGGAATTACGAGAATTCCAAAATCGACCATCTGTTGGTTTTGATCGCCAGAGGGAGTCTTTTCGATTTTATATATTCAAGGTATGTTGATCCGTAACAGACGAAGATACGAACGAGATCGGCAACAGTTCGCTTCTCAACCGCTTCGAACTGAGAAACGTGTTCAGACAGATGAGAACTCTATAATTAGAAGACACAGATTAATACCCCCAACGACAGTAAGTAATACAGACCTTTGCTTGTATTTTAAATCTATCCAATTGTAAGCTATTGTATTGGCGAACTAGCCAACATGACCTTAGACAAATACTGAATGTATAACTAATAATGATGAGTTAACGTGAAAATCAAAGTCACGTGTTTAACTGTTATTATTATTTTTTAACGGAATGTATTACTTTAGGTAAACATACTATATTGTATATTTCATTTAATATTTGCTGGGTGTCCTTTTTACTTGAAGTATAATCGTATTGTGAGTCAAATTTAATTGTATATTAAATATCGCTGGATTCGGCTATTCACGTCTGCACTGAAGTGTGCTTGACCCAAGTTAGAAAATATCATATAGAGGAAAACAAAGTAAATAACGAGGGGAAAAAAAGAAATAGTAACACTAAATTCTGGTTGTATGAGTAAATAAAGAAGCATTTTTTGAATGATAAGCACTATCAGTGTATCTGTATATGCACTAAGTTGCATCGCCCTAAAATAGGATTCATGTTTAATCCCCTGTGACTCAAAGATATATTTGCGGGACTATGATGCTAAATATGAGAGTTCGATCCTCACGATGGGCACGTTGCAGGCGGCCCTTTGTGAGGCTTTTGCTGGATACAAAACGAGCGCTTATATTTTTCAACAACTATCCTTTATATCAAAATGTGGTAGTTACAACGATGCAATATATCAAAATGTGGTAGTTAAAATGCTGTAATATTTCAGTAGCTACAAGTTAGCAGTATATCAGAAAATAATATTTACATTAGAGGCAGTATATCAGTAACTACATGGCAGTGATATATCTGAACATAATAGTTATATCGTGGAAATATATCAGTAATTACATGGCAGTGATATATCTGAACATAATAGTTATATCGTGGAAATATATCAGTAATTACATGGCAGTGATATATCGGAACATAATAATTATATCGTGGCAATATATCAGTAACTACATGGCAAAGGTATATCGGAAAATAATAGTTATATCGTGGCAATATATCATTAACTAGATGACAAAGGTATATCGGAAAATAATAGTTATATCGTGGCAATATATCAGTAACTACATGGCAAAGGTATATCGGAAAATAATAGTTATATCGTGGCAATATATCAGTAACTACATGGCAAAGGTATATCGGAAAATAACAGTTACATCGTGGCAATATATCAGTAGCTACAAGATAGCTTTATATCGGAACATAATAGTTACATCGTGGCAATATATCAGTAACTACATGGCAGTGATATATCGGAAAATAACAGTTACATCGTGGCAATATATCAGTAGCTACAAGATAGCTTTATATCGGAACATAATAGTTACATCGTGGCAATATATCAGTAGCTACAGTTTAACAATATAACAGGAAATAGCGTCGTGATAATAATAGTAACTACATGGCAGTGATATATCTGAACATAACAGTTACATCGTGGCAATATATCAGTAGCTACAGTTTAACAGTATAACAGGAAATAGCGTCGTGATGATAATAGTAACTATCCGATAATAGATCGGAAATTAACAACTTAGATATGATACTACAGAAAGTAGTAGCTGCAGTATGGTTATGTAGAGAACGTTACGTAGAAGAACAGTTTAAACAGAAACGGTATTTTTATGTTTATTTTATTTTAATCATTGAATGTGTTAAATAGTTTTACAAACTGCTTACGTTTTCAAAATATAATATTATATAACATAACATAATGTTTAGTGACAACAAAGGACCTATTGGTCCACCTTTGCTGTCCCATCCTCTAAACTAAACCAAAACTATCTTTAAAAACAAATCTTAAAGACAGCCCTTATCAAACTTAAACTTAATTAACGTAATTACTTTTCTGCCTAGGTTGTCTACTTTACTGATGACCTTTTGGTGGATATCTTGAATTAAGTACATCAGAACAAACAGAGACACAAACCTGCCACTTCACCGATCATTTTCTTTCTACCAGCATCGGTTAATCAGTCAGTTAAAATGAAAGAAGGGAGTGATTTATTCAACACAAGCGAAGCACACAGCATTTTTAACTTTAGTCTTAACCAAGCCAAGACGATTCTTGAAGAACACGTTGTTCAAGGCCGTTTTTTTGGCCGATCAGTCGAAATAACATTTGTATCCTGCTATACCCTGTTAATAACGGCGGGAATCTGTCTTAACCTCTTAATATCATACGTGATTATATCTAATAAAGCTGTCTGTGCTAGCCAGAATATGCTGGTAGTCAACTTGAACATTTCAGATCTTGCTTTGTGCCTATTTTGCATGCCTTTTACCTTGGTAGAGCTGATATTTCGAGACTGGCCACTAGGGGACGTGTTGTGCAGGATAATACCATTTAGTCAAGCGTCAACAATCTTTGTGTCGGCGGGTACCATTTCAGTCATTGCTATCGATCGACATCAGGCTATTATTAATTTGATACCCATCAGGAGACAGTTTAGAAAGCGGCGATTTATTGGGTATACCTTCGCCATTTGGATGGTGTCGGTTTTACTTTCTCTACCAATCTGCTTTACCAAAAGAGTTGAAGACGTTGGTTTCTTAAGTTATGTTATTTATAAAAAATGTATCGAAGTGTGGCCTTCAAACTCCAGTAAATTAGTGTACCTGATAGTTACCTTTGTTGCTCAACTGGTCATTCCCACAACTGTGCTGGTAGTCACTCACTTCCGTGTCAAAGCTCACCTGAGCACTGTTAACCCACGAAAGTCGGGGCACGAAAATGACCAACATTCGGAAAGGACTCAGAGAGAAGTGAGGAGGAATCTTCGAGCAAACAAGGTACTACAGAATGTTTGCCTCGTCTTCACGATCAGCTGGTTGCCCTGGAATCTTATAAACTTACTAGCAGATGTTTATCCGAACGTAATGACGCCAAAAGACCTCTACATGACCTTCGCTATCTGCCACATTATTGCTATGACCTCCGCCACCTCGAACCCCATTCTCTACGGTTGGCTGAACACCAATATTAGGCGAGAGTTGGTTCGTTTAGTTCAAAGATTCAGTTGTTCTTCGATAGCCAACAATGTTAATCGCCAAAATGTTTCCCAGCACTCTAACAATGTGCTAGAATAACTCTGTGTAAAAATGGATGTGTAACGAAAAATACTTCTTCTTATGTATAGTGAAAGTAATAAGTCATGAAAAGAAGCAGGAAACAGATGAAAAAAAATATATTTGGTTATAAAAGTGACTTGATTATGTAATTCTTATTTTCGTATTAAATTGTATTCGGTGTTTTCAAAATGTATAAACATATTAAAAGAAGAATAAGCTAATATTTTTTTTAAATCTTTAATGATAAAATGTCAAAATGAGTCTAATTATAGTATTTCATGCTTGAGTTGACGTCATTAGATATCGATATCAGCTAAAAAATATCTCCTGGCGTTTTGGTTATGACATTTATCAAAGGGCTAAACAGAAACGTCAGGAATTAGTTCATCTGAAGGCTTGCTTGTTTGTGAAATTATGAATAGTTTTAAAAGAAAACACAACAAACGAGAGGTTTGCTTCAACTTTTGGTCAACAACAGCCACATCCGGGTGGATAAAGTAAATTATATTTTCTGTTTTGTTTGTTTGTTTCCTTTTCTGCAAGAAGTATCTATAGATGAGTATCACCCAATATAGGAACTGTCACCTGTTTTGTTTGTTTCATTTTCTGCAAGAAGTATCTATAGATGAGTATCACCCAATATAGGAACTGTCACCTGTTTTGTTTGTTTCATTTTCTGCAAGAAGTATCTATAGATGAGTATCACCCAATATAGGAACCAGCACCTGTTTTGTTTGTTTCATTTTCTGCAAGAAGTAACTATAGAATGTAAGAACTAGTAATGAACAGTTCCCTTAAAAATTTAAACTGAGTTAATTAATGGATAAATTTTATGCTTAATTATTTCATTAACGACAAAGAAAATAACAATTACGTATATGCTGCGCCATTTATAGAAGTAAACGTGTTTTTTATGTGTGTAATTCCTTGACTTTCTATTTATACTCAAATTTTAACCAATATAACATAGCAGTTGTTACAGTCCTGCTATAATGAAAATATTTCACAAGAAAACCCTAGAAAACCAGAGATGTTTCGTCCCTTTTGTTTCACTAGGAAACCCTAGAAAACCCAAGATGTTTCGACTCTTTTATTCCACAAGAAAACCCTAGAAAACCAGAGATGTTTCGTCCCTTTTGTTTCACTAGGAAAATTTTTGAAAATCCGACATGTTTCGTTCCTTTTATTCCATAAGGAAACCCTAGAAAACCCAAGATGTTTCGTTCCTTTTATTTCATAAGGAAACCCTAGAAAACCCAAGATGTTTCGTTCCTTTTATTTCATAAGGAAACCCTAGAAAACCCAAGATGTTTCGTTCCTTTTATTCCATAAGGAAACCCTAGAAAACCCAAGATGTTTCGTTCCTTTTATTCCATAAGGAAACCCTAGAAAACCCAAGATGTTTCGTTCCTTTTATTCCATAAGGAAACCCTAGAAAACCCAAGATGTTTCGACCCTTTTGTTCCAAAATTTTACTGGCCAGCACGGTTTAGTCGAAAAATTTATTTAACTATGTGCATCTCATTAGAGATTATAATTGTGGTAAAATATATAGAAGAAATATACAGAATGCAAAGGTAAAATATTATGAAAATTTCACAATTTGATAGAATACGTTTGAGTGATACACGAGCTTTGTGTTCCATAGGCGAATATTTTCATATCGATTTAGCAAGATTACCTAATTTTATGGGTTAAATTTATGTAATACACTAGTTTTGTGTTCCATATGTAGTTTCAATTGTATTCAATAATACTGTAAGTATTTGGACAAGATTCTAAAGACATGTGTATATTTATACTTACATAGTGATCGTAATACTTACATTTGTAAAACCTTAGTTTTCTGTGTGTGTTAAGAATGAAGAGTTTTGGCTTTAATATATTTGTCCATGTCTGTTTCAAGACTGAGATTACGATGAGGCTTTTAACTCTATTAAATACAGAATAGTTTTTGTGTTAATAAAAAACTTTAATTCAAGTTAGTCTTTCCAGTGTTACTTTCACAACAATCTCAAACCCTCCATTTGGATACAAAAAATCTAGAACAATATATTAGAACAGAGTGACGTGTTACTTAACTCTCGATGGAATGTGTTTCAAGTATTTCTATTGGACACACTGAGAACTTCCCACTTGTACCTGGTTCGGGATACTAGTAGATGGCGCTACCTCAGCACTGTAATGAAGGTAAAGTTTATTTATTTAAACTCTACGCAGTCACGAAAATTGAATCATAATGTTCACCGAAATAAAAAATTAAACACTTTATTTTTGGATTTAAAAACATATTTATAAAAGAACAGTAAAAAAATAAACGCTTTATTTTTGGATTTAAAAACATATTTATAAAAGAACAGTAAAAAAATAAACGCTTTGTTTTCAGATCTAGCAGTTTATCTAAAACAAAACTTTATAATTCGGAGAGGAGAAAAATACCACTTAATAAAACTAACTGAAAACACTATGTATAACCAAGCTTTGCTATCATCCTGAAATCACTTTATAGACCATAATTTTTGCTAAATCACTTTGAAAACACTTGTTACAATTGTTTTACTAACGTGCTAAAACATTTTATAGCAAATAACTTATTGAACAAACTTAATGAAAAAGACATTTCTGAAAATATCGAAACAGTTTTTTAGAACACAGCTTTACTATCGTCCTGACAACCCCCCTTAGAAATAAGCTTTACAAACTTCATGAAAACTTTTTATAAAATACAGGTTTGATATCGTCCTGAAAACCTCCCCTTAGAAATAAGCTTTACAAACTTCATGAAAACTTTTTATAAAGTACAGGTTTGATATCGTCCTGACAACCCCCTTAAAAATAAGCTTTACAAACTTCATGAAAACTTTTTATAAAATACGGGTTTGATATCGTCCTGAAAACCTCCCCTTAAAAATAAGCTTTACAAACTTCATGAAAACTTTTTATAAAATACGGGTTTGATATCGTCCTGAAAACCTCCCCTTAGAAATAAGCTTTACAAACTTCATGAAAACGTTTTATAAAATACAAGTTTGATATCGTCCTGAAAACCTCCCTTAAGAAATAAGCTTTACAAACTTCATGAAAACTTTTTATAAAATACAAGTTTGATATCGTCCTGAAAACCTCCCCAAGAAATAAGCTTTACAAACTTCATGAAAAGTTTTTATAAAATACAGGTTTGATATCGTCCTGAAAAACCTCCCCTTAGAAATAAGCTTTACAAACTTCATGAAAACTTTTTATAAAATACAGGTTTGATATCGTTCTGAAAACCTCCCCAAGAAATAGGCTTTACAAACTTCATGAAAACTTTTTATAAAATACAGGTTTGATATCGTCCTGAAAACCTCCCCAAGAAATAAGCTTTACAAACTTTATGGGCCCGGCATGGCCAGGTGGTTAAGGCACTCGACTCGCAATTTGAGGGTCGTGGGTTCGAATCCCTCTCACACCAAACATGCTCGCCCTTTCAGCCGTGGGGGCGTTATAATGTGGCGGTCAATCCCACTATTCGTTGGTAAAAGAGTAGCTCAAGAGTTGGCGGTGGGTGGTGATGACTAGTTGCCTTCCCTCTGTTCTTACACTGCTAAATTAGGGAGGGCTAGCGCAGGTAGCCCTCGTGTAGCTTTGCACGAAATTTAAAAAAAAAAAAAAAAAGAAAAACTTCATGGAAACTCATTATAAAACACATCTTTGCTATCGTCCTGAAAACTTTTTCTAGTACAAGATTTAGAAACGTAATGAAAAAACTTTGTAGATCTAGGCTTGTCTCAT